AGCATTAGAGCAAAAATTCATTGCTGACAAGAGGCTCACCCTCATAGTGTCTCACAATATTTTTGACAGATAAAAATGAAAGATTAAAGAAAAACTACAAAAATCACCAAATATAAAGTAAAGAACCAAATCGGAAATTCATTCCAAGACATAAATTCACCTGATGTTAAACAGATTTAGAAATTTGAGCTTGCATTAAATTTAATGAGTAGTTTTCCTTTTTTCTTGATTTGTTGGATTATCACAGCTCAACTATTTTACAAATTATGATCAACTACCTACTCCATCAGTCCAAAACCAACACTTTTAATTAAAACTCCAACATTTCCAACTCAGTACTTACATTTGATAATTTTTATTTTATTTATTTATTTTTTAAAGATTTTTATTGGGGAATTGGGGGGATGGGAACAGTGCTGGGGAATTGGGGGAAGGGGAACAGACAAGTTGTTGTCGTTTTGTTCTTCAGTCTAGTTGTGGAGGACGTTGCTTCACTGGCCCAAGTTGGCACCATCATTGCGCTCTTCCCGGGTGAGGCAGATCAGTCGCCGGCTTCTGGATGGCCGCTCACGGCGGCTGCTGGCCGCTCACGCTGGCTGCTGGCTACACACGGTAGCCCATGGCAACCCACTGCAGCAGGGGCTGCAGCCTACACCGTCGCCGGCGACTCACAGCAGCCCAGCTCCAGGTTGAGCTGTTGTTCAGCATCTTAGCCGTGGAGGGCAGTGTCACTGGCCCTCATATGTGGGATCCAAACCGGGGCCCTCTGGCATCCCAAGCCAGTTCTTAACCATTGCGCCACTCGGCTGGCCCTACATTTGATAATTTTAACTGTCATCTCTCATGCAGAACCATGCCATTTACTTCCTTTGAATCATTCAAATCCTCCCAATATGTTCAGTTTATTGGTTTTCTCATTACTTCATCCCCCCAAAGAGATGATCAACTGTTCCACTTTCAACCACTGACTTTCCATGAATCAACCCTTGAAAAGCCCAATCCCTGATAACCCTAACTAGCCATTCTTCCTGTCTCTATTTCCAGGTATAAGAGAACTACTGGTGTGGAAGGGGTGGGGGAAAGCAAAATTGATATACTAAGTTTTTAAAGAATACCCTAACTTTTCCATTGCTACTTATTACCTTTCTACCTATTACCTCAAATTCCTAGGCATAATGTCCAATGAGATTAGAATTTTAAAAAAATACAATGTACTTTTCTCACAAAACCAACCCCTCAATGCTTTATAACCTCTTTACCTCTTAATTACTGACAAGTTTGATAGTTATTACTGATGAGGTCAACTGTTACACTGTCAAAATGGAAAATGAGGCCTCCATTTCCGTCTGCCTCTCTATCTTAACATAGCCTTGTCTCTGTATGTCTCTGCCTTGTTCCATTCCTTTCATTACTTCAGAAAATGAGGTGGTTGTTCCTTTCCTCTGAAGAGAACGTTACCAACTAGTCTGAGTCCATATTATCCTGACTTTTCAGCTACCTCGTCCTCACATCAGTCCTTTTTGGCAAAATCTTTCCAACGCTACCAGCTCCTTGATGTTTTTGCTTTTGACAATAACTAACCACTTTTTTTCCCCTAAGCACTTTTTTATTAGTCTCTCTCCCAGACTATCATGACATTCTCCTAATTCTAGTTCTTATTCTCATCTCAAATTGTGCCTATACTTGTTTCTTTTATACTCTCTTTTGTGCCTATACTTGTTTCTTTTATACCCTCTCCCCCTTAACATCTAGCATTCCCCTCTCCCCACTAAGTTTAATCTTTATTCCTGTTTTCTCTCTGTCTGCTAGAGAATGGGGTGGAAGAGGGAGTGGGGAAATTGAGTGAGGACAGGAAAGATGCTTTTGTTGGCAATTTGTAGTTCCTTATATAAACTGGGGTGGAAAAAGTTAACAACTATTGCTCACCACTCTCTATAAAGAATTCATTTATTCTTATAGCTACGATACTTACATCTATGTAATATTTCCCCAATTCAAATTTTCTCCATAATTTTGACTTCTTTCCTGAGAATCAGTCCATGCTTCTAGAGGCATAATGAACATTTATATTTTTACATCCCACTATCAGGCATTTCCAACCTGACACAACCAAACTTTGTCATAAACTTTCCCATCTCTACCTTTTGAATGACCCAGATAATCTCCATTGCACAGTTTAGAAAAAGTGGTATCACTTCCTTCATTTCCTATATCCAGGTAGTGATCAGTTCATCATTTAGGCTGTGACATCAAAGAGAAAAGGCAAAGAACTCCCCATCCTCATCAATTCTTATTACATTCACTACAATCTTATCTCCAGTCTAATCTCAAGTAAGAAGACCTCTTTCATCATGTCATTCCTCTGTCCAGTAATTTATAATAGCTCTGAAATCTGACAATTACCTTCATAGCCTATTTACTATTTTTCTCTACTATACATTTCTCAAACTCTTTGCTCTCTGGACCCTTACAGTCCTAAAAAACTATTGAGGACCCCAAAAAGCTTTTGCCTGTACGGATTACATCTATCAATATTTACTGTACTAAAAATGAAAACTGAGAAAAATTTTACAGATAAGAATACACAAGCACACATTCCATTAACTGTCAAAGCAATGATGTCATCACACATCATGCAGCCTGGAAAATTCCACTGACACTTGTGAGAGAATGAGAGTGAAAAATACAAATAACATCTTAGTATTATGAAAACAGTTTTGACCTCTAGAAACCCTGGCTCACTTTAAGAACACTATTCTATCTGACCTTGATTCTCTTAATCCATCTCCCTATCAATCACTGATGACCACTGATGAGTAACTTTTGTGTGCAGTAACAGCATGAAAGAAGGCTAAGAACCACAAATTTTAAAATAATCTCCAAATTCATTAGCAGCCTGCTCATTCACAGTCTAACCTCACCTATCAATTTTATTTCCTACTATTGCCATTTCCTTTCCCTCCTCCCCTGTACTCCAACCAAGGCTGGAGTCCTCAAACAGAACAAACCTTTTCTTGCTTCAGCGTCTGTGAATACAATATTCCCTCTGCCGGGAAGGTCTTCTCTCATCCTTCAGACCCACTTCATAGATTACCAATTCTTTGAAGCTTTCTCTTGACACATCCCATCCCCAATTACCTTTTTTTTTGCAATTCCATAGCACATTCAGAACTTCTCACATTGCACCGTAATTATCGTGTCTCCCCACTAATAGCGAGCTACATGAGGACAGACTTGCATCTTGCTCGTCTTTGTATTTCTGGTACCTCGCACATAGTGGGAACCCAAACATTTGATCATTCACATGAAGCCATATCTTTCAGAGTTGGTTCAATGCTTATCTATCCCCAAGTATTCTAGCCCACAGTATTTGCTCCTTCCTCTGAACTTCTGCAGTACTATATAGAAACTAAGAAGAAAAAAAAGCCTAACAGAAACTGTTATAACCTTCCTACAAAGACTGGGAACATTGGCCCATAGGATCAAGTCTAATTCCCTAGTCTGACATTCAATGGCCTTCTTCAAGTGGCTCTTCACCTTTTCAATTTTATTTTCTATTATTCTCCAATATGAAATTATCACTCCTGTCATCCAATACACACTATTCATTCTATTTTTTTTTCCCTCTCTTGTTTATACCCTTCTCTCTCCCAGGAATCCCATTTCTTTGTTATTCTAAATTCTACTTTTCCTTAAAAGCTTAGTTCAAGACCCAAAAATTCCACGAAGCTCTCTGGGACTATGCCAGGCCAAAGAAAAATTTCTCCTTTTGGGATATCTAATGCATTTCAATCTGTTTCCTATATTTATAGGAACCTAGTAACCTATTATTTATAGTGTACTGTCTTGCATTGTTCTTTAATAATTTCAAGTAAGTCAATGCTGCAACCCCAAATAACTTGACAGCTCTTTAAGAGTAAGCACAGTCTTCATTCAAAATATTTTAGTGCCAGTATGTACCAGGTACTGGTAGGTTTTCTAACCTTATTTCTTTTGTATCAACCCTTCCTAGTAACAGGAAGACTAAGGCATGTAATAAATACGATTCCCTTTGCTTGACTTTCTTCCTAACTGGTCAGAATAATCCAGGCTATTTTTTTCTAGGGAACATTCTATCTATAGACATATAATTACCAATTTGAAAATAAAATGTTATACATCTCAGCACCCTAAAAATGCAAGCTTAAATAAGACACTCCATTTATAGGTAACTAACTCACTTTGAGTCCTCAATATTCTTACTTTTGAAGGTCCCTTCCCTTTTATGCTCCTTTACCTTGAATATATCTTTCTTATTTTAGTTGATACAGTTTTAGCTCCCCTGACACATCCTGATGCATGGTTACTGGTAATAAAGCCAAACTATTTAAGAAGAGCCAAAGAAATGAGGCAAGTAAAAATCATGCATAAATTTATAACATCATCTTTGAAAACCAAGAAGTTATGGTAATTGGGTCTCAGACCAAAGCTTTTCCTTAAATGGTATTTGTCTAAGGGGCCACATCTTCCCTTTCACCATTTCCTTAAGTATCCACACCCAAAGAGAGCAAGCATTAGTTGGAAAATAGACTAAACATAACCATCAGAACTTGCTCCCTGATATCATAGATGATAACTTCTGAAAATAATTTTCCCCTATTATTCACTCTTTTGCATATGTGATAAAGTCAGTAAGAAGGAATAACATAGAAAGATATAGTTTAAAAATAATGATAAAGGTTAGGATGCTCTAAGTCCTAGTTTATTGTAAGTACATCAGCCACAACTGAAAGTTAAACTCTCATTTAAACAATACATGAGACCTGAGATTGCCAGCAATTCTTTCTGATATACGTATAATACGCTTTCAACATGGTAGTCCTAGAATGAATTTCATGTAAGAAGAAGAGGGGACTAATGAGGAAAGAAAGGAGCAAGTCATCAGCTAATATACAGCAGCTCGCCCACCCTTTTCTCCCCCTCCCCAAAAGCTGTAGGAAATAAAAAGCTGCAGAATGTACCTTCCATGCCAGAAGCAAAACATTGAGGATGGCCAGTAATGGGCAGGGTCCATTCTCATTCTGGGTAATGATGGGTGTGTTCTCTTCTTTCCACTGAATCCACTTGATGTGATAGACAGATTGTCCCGGGAAGCGTTCCTTGGAGGCCGCCAGCACCTGAGCTGCCTCCCCCTCCTCTTCTTCCTCCTCCCCCCTGCACAGAGGCACAACCCCGGGCAACACCGCCGCGCCGCCCTCCTCCTCCTCGGGGACCCTGCTCTCAGCTCCTTCTTCACTATTGAACTCGGAGCTACTGGGGAAAGAATGCAGGTTAGAGAACGACTCCAGAGAGTCCAGGCTCGGCGATTCCCCAGGAGGACTCGGGTCGCTGCAACTGCTGCTGAGGCCGCCGGCGCTGCTGGGCTCCGGGGAGCCCGCGGCTGCCAACTCTGGCCGGCAAGTGCCGGCGGGATCCGAGCGGGCGCCCGAGTCTCCGGCCGGACCCAACCCATGGCTCGCTCCAGCCTCGGCTGTCTCCGGGGAGGCGGTCACCTTGTGCTGCCCTCTCAGAGGCACCTTCTGGGCAGCAGGACTCTCCAAATCGCTCTCCTGCAAGTCCAAGCCCGTGGGGGAGCTGCATGGTTCAGGAACCTGAGAGCTGGCGGGGGAAACCGAGTCCAGGAGGCTCCTCCCGGGGGCCGCCGCCCCCTGACCGTTCCCGCCGCTGCTCTCTACCGCCCATACTTCAGGACCATCCCCAGCGGCGAGCCTTGTCTCCTGTCGCCTTTCCTGCGGAGAACCTGTTCCTGGCACTGGCCCGGTGGCCACCCCGTGTTCTAGCGGCTGCAGGCTCCCAGGGCCGCTCTCCATACCCAGCCGCCCGCCCCTCGCTCTAAAGAGACCGCGGCGGGTTCTCCTCGGCCAGCGCCTCCGACGCCATGACAGCGGTACTGGTAGCTACAGCGCCCTTGCGCGGCCTCGGCCAGGCACGTCACGGGGGAGGGCACCGGGAGCGCGCAAGCGCGCCGCCGCGCGGTCGGCAAACTCTGGGCGAGTCGACGGTGCCTGCGCGCCTCCGGGTGACGGCGAACTGCGCGGCGGCCGCCCACGTGGCCCCTCTCACGCGCGCTCTTGCCGGTCGGTCTGAGCGCGCGCTCGGAAGGCGGGGCTTGGTGGGCGTGGCTGGGGCGTGGCCAGGAGGAAAACATCCTTTCACTATATGTGGCCGGAAGTTGAACTGTGAGGCATCCCTACCACATGCGGCTATTTGCGAGACAAGGCGAGCGGCGCACAGCTTCGTTGTGACCTTTCAGAGCTGCGTCTTGTGTGGCCCAGTTTTGGGCTCATGAATGGGAAAAAGCTCGTCTTGAAGGGTTCAGGAGGTTTGTTTCCCCAGCTTGTAATGTGGAAAGTTGAAGGAGTTTCTTACAAGGTGCAGATTTTAAAGGCTGGGATCTATTTGAGGTGTTTGGGTTACTACACTGCACCAAGTCCAGCCTCCTTCGGGTTTGGCTGAGAAACACAGTGTTCCCCACCAGCTACTGGTGAAAACGCCTACAGGAGGCGTCAGTACGGTTGTGGATATTGGCCTGCGCAGAAAAAAAAAAAGATGTGGGTAATTTGGGCCAATAATAATAAATTAGATTGTGCTTGAATTAGCCAAGTCTGCGGTTTTGTTAACTTGGCCTCACTTTGCATAGAGTAGGAAGAGCCTGTTCCTGAAAAAGTTACTTTTCTAATTAGAACTTAAGGCCATGCGATTTTCAGAAAGGACAAACTAGGTTGGAAATTTTGTTGGTGACAAAATGGATTTGGGTCCTATTCTGACCTGTTCCAGACAAGGGCTTTATTATTATTATTATTATTTTTTAAATCTTTCGACATTTTCTAGGCTCTGGGGATACAAAAAATTGACAAGACAGGTGTTCCTTCATAGTCAGACATGCAAATACCCGATACCTAATAGAATGTAATCTTTTGCATGGGGTTTACTGCCTAGTGGTTTTTTTCTTATTGCTACATTTTTAATACTTGATTGAGAAGTACTGTTTCTTGAGAATGCAGAAGATGGAGCTCCTTCTACTTTTTTACATTGACAACAATCTTGTATTTATCCAACTCTTGGAAAAAAGGAAAATTAGAAAAGATAATGGAAAGCTTCTAAAGAATGTTGAATTAAGGAGTTTTGGTCTCCATGTCAATCCGTAAACAATAAATAGTATTGTTCAAATTAGAATTTTTCCCTGAAAAAGAGTTGCAGTGTTAACAGATTAAGATATATGCTGCTAGACTAAGCACTTTACAGTATTTCAGACCATTAAGTGCAAATGAGAATATTACAGATTTCAGGATATTCAGAATTTAGCATGGTACCTTCATTGTAAAAAGGAGGTTTGCAAAGGTGTGTAATACGAATAAATTAAATGAACAAATTATTTCCAGGCCAGAAACCATAGTAGAATTAAAAGCCATGAAACACGTCTCAAATAATGGCTTTTCATGTTTTTCACTGTTTTTCAAAAACCCTACTTAGATAAACCTGTACTTGCTCTGGTAATTTTTATTGGTATGTGTTTCAAATGCTCACGTGCATAATTTAATAATATATTTATAACAGAAAGAAACAGAACCAGTTTTTCTTATCATATGTTGTCAGCAATTACACCAATTAAGCCAAGATGAATATGTATGTATTTATTTAAGTTTGTTAAAATGTACATAGTTATTTTTCTAAGGAAGGTGGGAAGTGGCATCTAGGGAGAAATGCCAGAAGATAATAAACTAAAAGTGTCTCCCTCTTATTTTGTTTATATGTATCTTTAATTAAATGTGAGGTTAAAATATGCCATTTTAAAATAAAATGGTTACTTTCCAAAATTTAAAAATTATTTTTCAAAGTTACAGATGTAATCATCTTTTTTTTTTTTTTAAAGATTTTTATTGGGGAATTGGGGGGATGGGAACAGTGCTGGGGAATTGGGGGAAGGGGAACAGACTAGTTGCTGTCGTTTTGTTCTTCAATCTAGTTGTGGAGGATGTTGCTTCACTGGCCCAAGTTGGCACCATCATTGCGCTCTTCTCTGGTGAGGCAGATCAGTCGCCGGCTTCTGGATGGCCGCTCACTGTGGCTGCTGGCCGCTCACGCTGGCTGCTGGCCGCTCACGCTGGCTGCTGGCTACATACGGTAGCCCATGGCAACCCACTGCCACAGGGGCTGCAGCCTAGCCATCGCCGGCGACTCACAGCAGCCCAGCTCCAGGTTGAGCTGTTGTTCAGCATCTTAGCTGTAGAGGGCAGTGTCACTGGCCCTCATATGTGGGATCCGAACCGGGGCCCTCTGGCATCCCAAGCGAGTTCTTAACCATCGCGCCACTCGGCCGGCCCCAGATGTAATCATCTTAAAAATCAAATAGTTTGTATAAAAACAAAGCAGCTCTCTGCACTATCCCTTCACAATTTTTTTTAACCTGTTGAATTAAAAAGCATTGTTTAAATTAAATTTATTGGGATAACATTGGTTAGTAACATCATATAATTTTCCTTCACAGTCTTGAGTCATGTTCTTTAGAAGAATCCTATTCAACTTCTAGATATACTTTAGCTCCCCATATTTCTGAGTAACATGACTACACTCTGATTTTTTTCAATTAAAAAATTGTAGATATTGTTTATTGATTTAGTCCCATGAAAGATGAAGATTTAGTTCTTTTATCTCACACCATCCTCTTCTTGCTCCAACCTCCCAATTATTTCAAAATTTTTAATTAAATAAGGTGCTCAAAACTTACGGCATTAGAGTTATATAAATATTATTCACAGTAAGTCAGATATTTTACTGTGACAGTGATTATATTTCTTTTCTTGTTAAAGTTTTTGTTTTTCTCTGTAATTAACAATTACCTCATCATTTTATTTGCTTAACTCTTCATCTACCACTAACTCAGCCACAAACTTACCAGCGTGGTCAACCATAAGATTACCTCTCAGATCCATTTTAAGCCATTTTAATCTTGGGTACATCCCTCCTGGAACACTCACTTCTCTTGCTCTTGTCTGGACTTGTTGTTTTATAGAGCTGCTGCACTGCTGCCATCCAAGGATTTCTTTTTGCTATTGTCTTAATTCCTTCCTTCTGTCTTCTATGTCGATTCTTTTCTTTTTTGGAATTTCTGTCTTCCTCGTTTTTTAATTCCGTGGAACATATTCTTAGCTTCCTGAGAAACAGTGTCTAGGATGATTTCTGTAGATTGTGTATGTCTAAAGAAAGATAGGTCTTTATCCTACCTTTACAGTTTATAGCTTGGCTGGATACAAAAATCAACGGTGGAAGTACTTTTTCATCATTTTAAAGTCATTGATCGATTATCTTCAAGCTTCCCGGTGTTTGTAGTTGGATACTATTAGACTCCAAAACATTTGTATGTAACCTGTTTCTTCTCTCTGAAGTTTATTTGATTTTCTCTTTCTTCTTGGTGTTCTGACATTTCAGTATTTGATATATCTTTGGGTGTGTCTTGCTTTATTCATTGGGCTGGTTACTTGGTGATCACATTCAATGTAGAAACTTATTTCCTTCAGTTCTGGGAAATTATCTTTTTTCATTTATTTTATAATTCTTTCCTCTAATTTTATTTATCTTTTTGTTCTCCTTTCTAAGAGATTTCCCCAACTTTATCTTTCAGTTCTTTTTAATGTATTGTTTATTGATGCTATTGTATAGTTAACTTCCAAGAGTTTGTTCTAGTTCCTTTTTATTGTTAAATGGCATTCTGACCTTTCATCTTTAGAATATTGATCATAATTTTTAGTGTATCCTTTTTATTTTTCAAAGGATATCTGAACCATATTACTATAAAAAAGTATACTTAGTCAGTATGGAGTTATTGCTTAGTGCCAGAGAATGAGATATAGGGTGTTTAAATGTAAAACATTGGTTTTACTCTTTGGGAGGGCAAAGTCTGTTTGGGGAACTAAGACATACACACCTGAAATAATCATTGAGACTATGTCAGTTAATAATTAATACTAAATGAATGGTACAAACAATAACTTACAAAGATTTAGGTGAAGAAAAATTTTTAGTGTGAGATAATCAAAGAGGAAGTAAGCTACATTCTCCTAATTAAAATCACAAGCTGATTATTACCTCAGGTTTAAAAAATCTCCCCCACCCCCTCCAAAATATATATCTAACTCTCACAATTATTATTCTTTTAAAATTCTCTGTTTTTCTTAGTTGGATCATAGCTTTTCTAGTACCATGACAGAAAAGTTGGTGCTGTCTTTGACGTTTACCCTAATTTATTTGCTATTATCTATCAAGTCTTGTTGATATTATACACCCCTTTCCTACTTCATTTGTCTGTAGCCACCCCCTAGATAAGTCCTTACCACCTTACTACCAGAGTATAGCAGCATTCTAATTATTGCCTAGACTATGGTTTTCTCTTCCTCAGCTTATCCTGCATAAACCTATAAGAGCTGTCATCAAACATCTTGCTTTTATTTTATTGATGGGTCTACTAAAAGTAATTGGATGGTTCTTTATTGTTAGTTGAATCAAAACTGACTCTGAGCAGAGGATATGAGGTGTATACTCCTCTTAGCTATCTACTCAAGATGTGGTGTAAAAACTCTGAGTTAAAATCAAGGGTTCCTATGTAACTCAAATTGCCCTGGCTCTGGCCCTCAGCTGTGTATGCAGAAACTCCAGCCTCCTGCAAAGTACAATCCCTATTTAATTATTTCTGAGAGCCCCCATGAGGAGTCCCACACCTGTTCAGAAACAAATTCAATCCTATGATATTCTACCAGGTGCTGCTTCTACTCCATGCTGCTTTACCAGATGCTAGTCTGCCCTGGTGGTGTTCAAGATATGTTATGGAGAATGGAAGGCAATGACCTTCTTTTCCCTTTTAATATGCTACAGTATTTGTGAAACAGTTCTCTCCATTTTACTT